TTTTAACAGAATTACTACAAAGACCGTAAAGGTAGAAGTAGTTTTACCAGGCTAAGGGAACTCCGTAACTAGCAGTCTATATATTTGCAATTTCGATAAATGCAGGTATGAAGGAAAGCTTAATTCGTCAACTTGTGAAAAGTAAATAAACTTGGAGTTAGTTCATTAAAGTGGTGTCAATCCTTTTCCGCAAGAGAATAACTACTGTGTAGATACCAATGTTGAGAATTTTTAAGTAGAAGGTAGCACCATGATTTCTCATTTCGGTTGCTTGTAATTTTATAAGCGATCTCCAACTTCAACCACAAACGGATGGCACTACTATAACAAGGAACAAGTTAATTTATGAAGATAGTTTTAAAGAGAACAAAATGGTCTACAGGAGTAAAGTGGCCCATAGATGTTGTGTTTTCGGTGGTGAAGCTGTGTTGCTGATAGTACATGCTTTTACTGGAGCAATATATGCATAGCTAGATGGATATCAAAACGCCTGCCTTTTGATTCTAAATAAAATTATTTTTAAAAATTAAATTTGGACTCTCTTTAATGGAGAATTGATCTTTTTCAGGCTCTATTTGGGCTATTGACTCTTTTAAATTTGCATTTTTACAATTTTATTTGAGGCGTCTAAGCGAAACAGATGAACGAGATTTACGAGGTCCGAACAGACACAATTTGGCTCTTTTACATCCCATTTGATTTGTTCCCTAATGAGTGTGCGTTGCAAAATGTGGTAATTAAAATGCACCTTTGACTAGTCCTGTTTTATTTGTCAACGATTTAATCTGTCAGTAGAGTCAGCAAAATGAAGTGGGAAATTTTTTGTCTTCTTTTTGGAATAATTTGCCTTAAATTTGTCCGAATGTTTTTAATACTGTTGGTACCGTTGTTGTACGATTATTTTTTTAATACTAATACGAAAGCATTTACAAGTTTAATTTGTGGAAATAACTGATGCAGAGTGGCAGAGAGTTCAACAAATGTCTCAGACGATGAACCAAAACGCGCCATTTTTGTTTCGTGGATTTTAATCTTACAATATGTACTACCTGGCAGATTAATTTTTTAAATTTAAAAAAAATGTTCTATCCTAATCTACTTTGATGCATTTATGCCCATTAAGTCTGTCAGTACAGCAGCTTTTCATACATCTCATTCCTCCTATTCTTTTCTCATAGCCAATATTTATTTATTTATCTCAAATGGCAGGCGTTTTGATAATTATCACTAGCCATGGAGCTGACTTCGGAGGAACATCAAGGAGACAAAACTCGAGAGGAGGAACAAAAGAGGGATTCACAGATGTAAAATAAACAGACAGACACAAAGGCAGAGAAAAGGTAAGATTAGTACTGTAGAAGGGGTCTAATATGACATACGGTGGGGTCATGATAGCTTGAAGTCAGAAGTCAACTGCCGGTTTATAGACTTTGCCGTGTGAGTATATGTTGCCCAGGGCGCACCACTTGGAGTTAGGTCTATCGCGCGCCCCTCATAGCTCAGTTTCTCAAAACATGGGAAATTTGAGCTCCACAACAGATTCAAATATTGTGGAGCAGTGATGGGTAGTTTTTTGTCTGTTGCATTCTACAACCTCTATCGAACAGAGCTCGTAGGTACCTTCTAAGGCGCTTATGCTCACTCTCGGTATTGCTATTACTTGAATCCACAAATGCTAAGTATGCAACGCTATTGTTAGGGCCATCAAACTCAATATTCTTCATGTGCCCATTGTATCTACACTGGAAACCATGACATAAAACATCCATATATAGGGGACTATTCGACAGTATTTGGGCATTTGAGACAGTTTTTGATATTCCATCTATTCATGGAAAGCTAGAATGAAAATGTTAAAAACGGTTTTGCTTGTATGAATGGTGATCCTCTCATTGGGCATTTAACTTGAGTAGGGGATAAATAGTTTATTACGAAGATAGATATTTTCTTTTCACAAGTTACATGACTTTCTGATGGCTGAATTTTCTATGGGGGGGGCGCTCGATTTCCTCCGACAAGATGAGAATATTCTGGAGAGGGTCACCAAGAATGCAATGTGCATCACTTCAAGTGACGCACACCAACACGGACTGCTTATGAAAACTGAAGAAAATTGTTTGGTATTGTCCTGTTTATCTTCAGTCGTTTAAACATCGGATTCACTTCTCATACCTCTATTACTGACAGGTTGACTGGAATTCTTATTAGGATTTTCTTGGCCTTTTCTGAATTTTCCAAACTAGTTTTCTGTCCAGATACTTTTTTGGCAGGAAATTTGCTACCGGCTTCAGCAGTCTCACTTCATTCAATCCCTAGTGACACACATGATCTCAGTCAAATTGAGTTGTTACGAAGAATTTTTCCGAAACTTCTGATGGCCATAATAAAGTGAGCAGCCAATTTCAAGGCATAAACAGAAGCATTTTTTGAGTACATGGTCTGTAGACCTCATCACTAAACAACCTAATGTTCTCACATTTTTATTGAGATCAAATGGATATAGGAAGCCATATCTACGTATTCCTCGACGTTCACATAGCTACTCAACATACTGTCGCTTATTTGAAATCCTGTCCTCATAAATTACACTGCCAAAACGAAGAAAATTGGCTGATCCCTTGGACTTTCTACCGGCTTTCTTTTCGATACCACACTGCGAAGTAAATTTAATCGCATAGACGATTTCTCTTCCCATTATTCTTTCTTGGTGATTGCGCTATTCCTTTGACATAACAGCCATAAAGTTGCTAATTCTTCGACATTTGTAATCCAAATTCCTAATTCGATAGCATGATTTCCATCAAGACTAAGTAAATATACCTAAACGGGCATCTGCAAATATAGGAATTCCTTACATCACAGTTAAACGGCACTTGTAGTGATCATTTGAGATCGATTTGTACTGCGATTGTTAAAAAAATTCACTCATCTTAATGACATAATCATTCCAAACCTCATTAAGTCACTCATTAATTTTCAGCCTTCGCCTTCTTGACGTTGAGACCTGGTAGTTTCTTTGATCTAATGTTACAATTTGCTTTATCACTTTTTCTGTATATATCCTTGCACTTGCCAGATCAGTTTTAGATCAATGAGATATTCAGTGAACCGTTTAACACGATTGTCATGACCCAAGTTGGTTCAAACATTTACATTTCATCTTTTCCACGAGTTCTTCATGTTTACTATCTTCTAACGATATTTTCCTTACCAGATTTCAAAACAACTAGCTCTATTTTAAAAGTTAATCTCCAAGTATAAAAATTTCAGTCAACAATCCAAGTGCGTCCACACTGTTAGGAATAGAGGGGGGGGGAAGCCTGATTTCAAGATGCTGGTAATTCGATGGACAATAATCAGTGGCCTCAGAAATTTGTTCTATCAACAAGGTTGCTCAAGCCAGGAGATACAATTAAATATAATTAAAAGAACTCAGAAACTTTCGACAACTATTCATGTTGCCATGGAAGATACTCGCCAAAGTAAACGTTCAACTTGACAATTCCGATTGAATATAATTGATTGGATCAATAATTTACTGATCATAGGATTATTTATCATCAAATGAAGGAAACAATGAATTTTGAAAATTATAGCTTTATTATAAAAGTTGAGGAAATGCGCATTTAATTTGAAAAAAAATCGAATGGAATCAACTTAAGCATAGCCAAAATTACTACAAATTGTTATCTTTAATCGGCACTGAATAATGAAAACTCTGAAATCTTTTGTTTTATTTTCCTAAAAGTTACGCTTCCACGATATTATTAAATGGAATATAATTTATGATAAATATTAAATTCCATGTATATTTAAATTGGTTTTATTATTAAAAGACTTGTTCACTTAACGTTACTCTGTATTCAATGGCAAGAGACATATTTATTAATAAGGATATATATACTAACTTAATGGAGCCTTAATGAGATTAAATGGATTAGAATAGCCTAACTTTTATTGTTCAATATTTTACGCTTTAGATTAATATCTCAAAAAATTTGGCATAGATTATTGAGGTGAAATGATACAGTCAAAAGACTTGAAAATTAATCTTTAAGCTCTCTTTGACTGGCGAATTCCACTGACAGCATGTTTATTTATATCAAACGACAGGCTTTATGTTAGTGATCATTAGACCTTTAGTTGACTTCTGACTTCACAGAAGGTACATTAAAGTCACAAAGGGTCGAGAGGGAGAGCAGAAGAACGATTCAAAGATGTAAAAGAGTGGATAAAAAGGTAAGGTGAGTTCTGTGAAAATGGACGAATATGACATAGAGTGGGGTTATGATAACTTGAATTCAAAAGTCAACTACCTATTTATGGAAATTTTCACCGCATGAGCATACGTTGCCCAGAGTGCACCACATGAAGGTAAGTCCGTAGTACACCCTTTCTAGCACATTATTGGATTTCAAAATTAATGCTTTCTGAGGAATTAACCATTCACTTTAAACCAATTTTTCGATCTCCCTGTTGAAATATTTGGATTTTTTGTCAATTTTCGTCTCACTTTCCACCTTTTGAATACTGCTTTAATTAATCTCTCATACTTTTACATGTGCAGACATCCCACTAAAAATTAACACATCTTGCCCATAGACCATTAATCTGCTCAATGCGGAAACATTAATGACACCTTCGAAGTATCATTTTAATCGAAGCTCTATTCTCAAGGTTCTTTAAGGAGATTGACCTTACTTACTACCGCAATTGAGTGGATATTTTCTTAATTTATGAGTTACTACTTGTTAGGAAATGATTGTGGAACTATATTTTATAGTGCTCTTACAACACACAGTTAGATAAAATTACATCTCGAACAAAAAATAAAGTTTTATTTAAAAAAAAGAATACACTAAATTAGAATTTATGCAATGCATGGAAGTGTGCCTTCAAATAAATTATGCTGAATTAGGAATTCAAGTGCATGAACTATGATTAAATGAGATCAAGGCACAGTCATTTCTATTTTAGTCCTTCAAATGGCATTAAAATTTATGATCAAAAAATCTTGTTGGATTGAGAATTTGGCTGAACAGAGGGAAAAAGTCCGAATGCAAGAACACAACGCTTCTACCTTAGGAAACGAAATAGCATTTAAAGATGATGCTGTTGGTACTGATGCTCTTGAGTTCAACGCGCATTCACTGAAGTCAGATTTCTCCACAGAGTAAATATTATGATCACGCACTTGACAAGTGTTTTCAAGCACGCTAATTGAATTAAAATGCTGAATTTGAGGGGATTTCAGGTGCCATTAAAACAAGTGCAAGTATTAAAAACATCTCAATTAACAGACTTTGAGACTGAAAACCCCTTGAGCAATATATTAGTGTCTTGCTAACATTTATTTGTTTAGGGTGGTATTGGAGGGGCATTTTTCCGCTCCATATCGTCTTGTGTGGCCATCACTTTGCTGGCGCCTCTCTCAGTGGAATTGAAGACGAAGGCTCCTGGGGCGCGAACTTTCCTGCAAGTGATTCGAACTCGTTTTGGAACCACTGTACATATCATCTACTGCGTCTGCGCCATCAGCGTCAACTTGACCATGATGTTTGAGGTCTCTTCCAGTATGTTAGCGTACGCTTTCATTTTAATTTCTAAAAAGACTGACCAGAATAAAACCCCAGACTCAGTTTAAAAATAAAAAATGTCAATGTAATTTTAGCGATTTAATACTCTGAATGTGGATTAAAAAGTAAATGGATTAATCAATATTGTTCTGAGTAGAGAGGCGCAGAAATAACGTCTAATTTTCATACAAATTTATTCATTTGCTTTGTTTGCCAATCTAGTAAGAAATATCGGATCCTATTCTGTAAAGAAGTATGTATCACTTTAAGGTGGTTTTTGAGTAAATGCGAGTATATGCTCAAATGATTGCTGTACGCACTTTGAGTAATGAGGCTATATTCAAGAAGCGAAACATTATAAATAAAACACTTTTATAATAAATATCATATAATATAAAATTAAATTTATTTATTTATTTCAAATGGTAGGCGTTTTGATAGAT